TTATTGTTTATATTTATATCTGTTTAAATAATCATTTAAAGTAGGATTAAAAAGATTAATTATTGTATTAATGATGCGAACGTCTTTATACGTTTCATTGATGGAACAGCCACTGATCAAGAAATCTGTACAGGCGACATGCCTACTGTAGTTCATGCAATGATTAACGCAATGGGTTTTCTTAAGGACACACGAGACGTTCCTTAATAATAGATAAATTTTTCTAAGAGTTTGTCATTGAAGTATTGCTACTTAAACATGTTTACTCACAAAAAATTGAGGTACCTTACCAGGCATTTCTGCAAGATACCAGGGGTAGTTTTTCTTATATAATCCTTTGGGTAAGAAAAATGATTTTCCAATTTCAAATGTTTAAGTGTTTGGATTTTATAAAAAACGTTTAGAAACTAGTTTAGAAATAGAATGGTATTAAGATATTGAATATTTTTCATACATTACGAAGATATACAAAACAGATTTTGAGGAACGTCTCGTCTGACCTTAAGAAATAAAGGAGAAAATATTCAGTGGATGTAAATATATATCTATAATGCCCACTATATTGTTGTACTTCTAAACTATTATTTCATTGTTTTTTTTCTTTTTGGCCAGTTTTGGCGTATGGCCCATTAGCTCAGTGATTTTTAAGCCCCGTCTTTTTCTAAGAAAACGTTTATTCCTTTGTAAAAACGGAGAAACCTCTCTCTCTCTCTCTCTCTCTCTCTTTGCAGACGCGAGCCCATGCGTATAGTACGTTTTCCTGATTTGATTATTGCCTGACGTCACGGCGTGAGGCTGTATAAGGCTTGATATTTGCAAGATCCGAAACTGATAGATCATACCTAGAGAGCTAGATTTTGTGCAAGCTGATTTACATTGGAATTATTTACCTGCATTTTAAAAGAAACGGTTTTCAGAAAAAAGAATGATATTACTGATGCAAAATATTTTAGTGTTTACTTCCTTTAATCTTTTTGCATGGAACAATTATTTCATGTGATTCACCGTTTCAACATGTCCGTGTATCCTTTTTTCTGCATTTCTGTACTATTGGATCAGTCCATTTATATTCAACGAAAGGGGTGAATCGCTCTTATCGCGCCAAATGTCACATTGTAAGCTCGTGACTTTTCCTTGGATTGTTCTATTGTGTGAATGGGTGTGCTAACTTCTATGGAATTAAATTAAGTTTGTTCTTTTAACCTCCTTCTAATACTTCAAAAATTATATCTAATATGTTTTACGGTGTGACCGTTGGGGCGAGCGCAGTTGTACCATCAAAAACACTCTAAAAATTGATCAGCCACTTCAAATATCAAGCCGCACGAGATATCTCGACTAACTGTGACGTCACACGACGTCACGGAGCTTGTCGGAGCTTACGGAGACAGCCGAACGTCTGTTTGAAACTATAGACCTAGTGCAATTTTGGTTGAAAAACATTGAAGATTTATTTTTTGTTTCTTTAAAAGATTTCTACAAACTGATCTAGCCTTTTATGTTTTACGTTATTATTTTATTTCTTTATTTATTTGCGCAAAGGACATTGGGTAGTGCGGGAATTCTGGGAATGTTGCGCAGAGAAATTTGGCTGACGTATGTACAGATTTCAATCCGAATTTCCTCTGTTCTTACACGTTAGTCTATTGAGCTCGCTTCGCGAGCGTCGCTTCGCGACGCTCGCTGCGCTCGCTATAAATTTCATTTCAGTAACATATTGTATATAAGCAACACTAAAGAAATGATTTTTTTTCTAATGTGTTTCCCGATCCCGCAGTTGTTTACTACATAGATGGACTAGTCCAATAATACACAACACAGTTCAACAAGTCATGGTCTCCAGATGCATGAACATTTGTATCCCTGTTTCAGATGCACACAATAGATAAGAAACCAGTAAAAAAAAATCTTGGATTTTTCTTTCCACAGAGGCCTAAATATTGAATTTTCTTACTTCATTCTCAATATATGATATTGGCACCCCCCCCACCTCCTTTTTAAGAGAAAAAAATTAATGAGCACATTACTAATGTTTATTTCAGTGGAATAAATACACTCCTATAAAATGTGTATTTTTTATTATGTACATCTTTTAAAATGTTCACAATGCATGATTTCATTACATATATTAATTATATTATATAATAATAGGTGTAATGTAGCTTTCAATTTACATCGAAGGGCAGATCACTCCACTTGCAGACACACCCCCCCCCAAAAAAAAAGTAATACTCAAACGGTTTATCACTCCTCATGCAGATATTGATTAATTTAGTCAGGCAAGCTTTTTAAAAAGTTGTTACTTGTAAATGAACTGGAATTGCCCCGGTGCTAAGATGCTTCCAAGTGAACAGACCAAATACCTCGGAATTCTTTTAAAAATGGCTGATCACGATGGACAGTGTGCAAACAAACGTCGGAGACTGACAGATTCATCTAATTTATCTGTAGATGATTTGTCACTTTCTGATAAATCAGATCTAACAACAGCTTTTCATAGACTCTGCATTACCAGTACTTTACTTTTGCATGACTGTATATTAATTTTTATCAAATGTAACAGTGATACAGAGTGTAATAGAACTGGCACTTAAACATTTCAAATAAGCTAAAATATCAAATCACAGAGATTAAAATGAATAGATATAATTAAAATAAAATACAAATTAAATCAATGCAAATGAAAATTCTAAAAGAAAAAATATAATTATATAATGTTTTATTATAATATTTTGGAATATTTAAAATATTGAATTTATAATAAATATTGATTTCAATACCATTCAATTAAGGACAAAAAATATCAAATTATGAAAATATTTGCATTATTTAAAGAAAAATGTACAAAAATTACGAAACATAATTCCAGTTATTTTTCCATCAACATTTGTTTTAGAAGAGGTGTACAAATCCATATAGAGACATTAAAAGTATTGCTCACAGGTCCTTCTTTTCTCCAGGGAAGAACCCAATAAACTTCAAACTACGTTGCGTATGACCTTAATTGTCAGATTTCTAGGGTTCATCTAAAACAGACTATAGGTCACTTGTAATTAATTTCTTTTGTTCTCTCCCTTCCTTTACCCGTACACCATTCCCACCTAGCCAAAACCAGTCACCTGTACTTTTTTCAGAATTTTGGCTAAGTGGGAAGACACCTTGAAAAGTGGTGGTAGAATTAAAGATCCCGGACCTCATGAGTAATACAAATGAACTTGTGATGAAAATTTATTTTAATGAAAGTCAAGCAATAAAATGAAAGTTTATATTTTAAAAAATAAATCACGCTAGGTGATGTAACATAAAAGCAACTCCAAAATGTTCGCACACAGACTCACACACACAAACGTTTTGGTAACTTGGAATTGTCCAGAGTAAAACTGTATTTTCTTGATGACGGAATGTCCAGTGCAGCTAATATTCACGTCCGGGATAGTCCATGCCGGATCTAAAACTGACTCTCACACAACACTCTCTCACTCAAACTTCAATTAACACGTTTACGCAATCATCAATCATCACACATACGAGTCGGACACTTTCTGAGGCAGAGGATTGACATAAATTCCTTAATGCTGAATAACAATTTCCTTTTTGCTGTCTAAACATCAAAATTGCTAGATAAATGAATTTAAAAGCATATATGTCAAAAATAAGCATTTGATTAAAGGGGCTGGGGGTTGTGGCCATTTTTAGACTATATTGATCTCCTTCAGAAGAAGAGCTCCAGATGAAGATATACAAACATAGTCAGGTTCCCGAGACCCCTCCGCTTTTATTATAATAAAAGCAGAGGGGTCTCGAGAACCTGACTAATACAAACATGCATGGCACGCCAAATTCACAAAAATGAGCTTAACATAGTTTCACAGTTGATAAACTAGGTTTATCGACTGTAAACTATAGTTTACAAACCGTGAACCATAGTTAACAAATCGTTAACTATAGTTTTTATCTGTAAAACTATATTTAACGGTCGTTAACTATAGTTTACGAATGCTAATCTAAGTTTATTTGTCTGTAATAAAACATTAACAATTATATAGATTTTGTTGATAAACATAGATTCACGTCTGTAAACTATAATTTACAATCGTGAATTATAGATAAGAGTTGTTAATCATAGTTTCACAAATCGTGAAACTACATGTATATAAATTATCAGATCGTTAACTATAGTTAAGAGTTGTAAACCACAGTTTACAAATAGGATTTTGATTCTAAATATGTATACTAGTGTCACTTAGTAAATTGTACAAATACCCTATCGTATTCTCTTTTAAAAGTTACGATCAATTTATAGTAATGTTCAAATTTTAAAGAGTCAAACATAAATGTCACGGGGTCAAAAATTATAAAATATTTGGAAAGATCTTGCCAAAGGTATCGTCGGTAACCCACTGGTGATTCACATCAATTCTCTCTAGCTTGTGGACTCAAAACCCGTGGTTTGCGAAGATGTGTCAAAGGTTATTTTCATGTGAAATATGACGGCCCTATCTCTTTTCATTTAAGTTATGACCATGTTTAAACTTTTTGAGAGAGACAGAGTAAGACACGGATAGATGAATGAGACTTTTAAAATGTCCCCTCGTTTTCGCGAAAGCGGTTCCCAGGGGACAACCTAGTTATTAAATCTATACCAAGACGATCACACAATTTTTAAAATTGAACTGAAATGATACATGGTAAAATTACAATTTTTGTTGGTAATTGTTTGTATTTCAACATTTATATAAGCGTATCCGCCATATATCCTTCTCGATCTATAATCCTTGTCCAAATGCTCAAGATTATGTTCCGATATACTTCACCAGATCATATGTTCAATGATTGTACATGTTGTAACCACTAGGTGATATAATTTAAAGAATTTAGATCGACTGATATTAACCCGGTAGCAATTTTCATTCTTTAACCAAGAAACGTACGTGTAACTTTAATCAATCATTCACGTTTAACTTTTATAATCTATTATTTGTTTCTACACAGTACAGTAAGTAACTGTGACTGGAGTCATTTCATGGTTGATTATACGCGCGCAATTTAAGTCAACACGTGACCTTCATATTTTTGTATCGTCTGCACAGATGTCGTCTGCCATGGATTCATCGTTGGAGAAAGATGATGCAAACGATGTTGACTGCAGATTTGCCATCTTAATGGTTGCTGTTTCTGTGACATTCTTTTACTTGTTAAATATGATGACTGCGAAATTTATCAATCCTCCTCCCAGTGCTTCCAAAGACCCGTGGAGATGGAGGAATTTGTTCGTATCTTGGATTCATGCAATTTTATGTGGATCTTGGGACTTGGCTTGGTAATTTTATTCTAGAAATTTCTATAAAACACAATTCTTATAAATTATATACGGTTTTTGTGCAATGTGTATTATTTTCTATTCATTTAATTGAGTTACGTAAGCATGTTTTAGTAAGTGTATTCAACCAAGTTTCTGCATGTTCTGTGACCTCATTTATTTATTTTGTAGTTTCAGCTTTTATCCCGAGATGTTTAATGATCTCGTTGCACACATAAATTATTTTACCTACATGATGGTTGCCTTCTCCACAGGTGAGTGAACAGGTCTATCAGTGAAAGTAAATATTGGGGTCTTACTAATACTTCAAACAAATAAAGGTAACATGACCCTGCAGATTGACCTGTTTCATAGAGAGATTAATTAAAAAGTGGCGGATCCACCTATTGAAAAAAGGTAAGGGTTAATCACCCCCTATGATTTGTAGTGCTATATTATAGGGTGAGATCAACACAATATTAAGACAATTTTTAATTTTTTGTTTGATTTGATGCACATGTTGCTATTGAAAGTATATACCGGCATTCAGAATATGGTGAGATAAAAGATGCTGTCCTTTTGAGATATTTATGTTGAGACTTCTTTTTTCAGGGTATTTCATTTACGATGCGTTAGATATGTATCTGAATAACAAACTTTTAAGTGACTGGGGTGTTACACTTCATCATATCATAGTAAGTTCATTGTGCTAATAACATGCTGATGTTAGCACGTGTGTGAAGTTATGATAATCTGTAAATGTATTACATTTTTAAAAACATTTAGCAATATTTTTCCTTTCATTTCAAAACTAAGTCAATTTTTCTTTGTGCTATAAATTACATTATTCATTTTAAGGTTTTGTAAAAGAAAAACCTTTAACGTTGTTTATCTCTGTAAAATCTTTAGCTTATATTTCGTAAATTCTGCTCTACATGACTTTTTTCTTCCGCAGGTAATACTGTTTTTTGTCCACACTATTTTGACAAAATACGGTACAGGACTGACATGTGTTGCCTTAATGACTGAAATTAATGGAGTGTTCCTTCACGCACGGAAACTAATGCAGATGTTTCAATTTGGATTTAATCATAAGTTGTATATCTTGAACAAGTATCTGAACTTGTCAACATTCATTGTATGTCGAGGCTTTCCCATTATTAGAATATTTTATGGACTTATGTACGAATGTCATGAAATTGTTCAACCTCTCCGAATTACGTTTAAGATTATGGTTATTCTCATGGCAATTATTAACATTGTCTTGTTTAAGCGCCTTTGTGAGAGTGATATACTGATCAAGTTTAAGTCGAAACATAAACACATGAATGGTGATGGAAATACTAGTAACTGCTCCCACGACAAAAAAGTTAATTAAATGATCTCTTGTTGATTTCATACCTTAAAAATACTCAGTAGTTGTTTATTTCACTACCCTTTAGTTCAAAAGAACACGATTTCAATTTCTATGCATGTAAAATTTTAGAAGTAAAAGTGTCGATTTGTTTTATTTTAGAACATGTATAATCAAAATACAACTAGTAGTGAAGATTTTCTTGCACTTGAGTTTTTTGAACTCTTGCGTTGATCCACAGTGCACAAGTTTGCCTGTAGTGTGCCATTTACTAAGCACATTTTTCATTTCGATAGGCCTGTTGCATATCTCGATTACTTTTAACATGCTATGGAGTGATTTCTTTTTTAAAAAATATATTAAATTTTCTATTTTTTCCTGGATTGTTTTTAGATATGTTTGCTCAAATAAAAAAATCTCCACATTCTCAGCTAAATTAATGGAAATGTGCATGCTCTTGCCAACTATAAACCCATTTTCAAACGAAAGTGGGAAAATACGGGTTTTAGTTACCAGTGAGGTATTTTATGCAAGGATGTTTATTTTACAGCTATATACATTTATAGTTTTATATGGATGTATTTATATATTATTATAATAATTGTGTCATTTTTAAAATAATGAAATTATTTATTTATGTGCCATTTTATTTTAATTATTATCCCTTACGTGTTATCTGTTTTTTAATCATTAACTGGCATGTTTTATGTTCAAATCACAGGCCTTTAGATCGCTTAGAAAAAAAATTGAGGTGTTGAAAAAAAAAAATAAAGGTATGGAACTCTTTTCATGGGGTACCTACTTTCGCCAATAAAATTCTTTTAAATCAAATGCTTTACAATTTTACTTTCTATCCATATCTATTCAAAAATAAACAATCTTCATTACTACCAAAGTTCATTCCGTAATTCCTTATACTTCTCGAGATATTCTGAAATCAATTCCCAAATTGACAATAATTTTTTTACTCGACATCAGCTTGGGCCTTCACTAATTGTAAAGCGGGAACGACGGGACAAATTTTCCCCGGAATTTATTCTAAACTCAATGAATATTTGCTCATTTGCATTCAAGCTTTACAAGGTTTTTCTTTAATTTGAACATATGGTGTAACTAAGTCATAAACAACATTTTAGCGGTCTAATTGTTTTGAAAATCAAAAGGTATATAATGCATTCCGGGAAAAAATCGTTCTACCATGGATTCATTTACATTCGTAATCAACATGGCGGTAGTTGTTGATGTAGACGTTTTCAAATTAATTTTTCGCGAAAGGAATATTATTACGGACTTAACGTTACAATCTGGAGTAAGAAATCAACTTTAAATTGTTGAAAGATTTTACTATGCAACTCTTCGCCGCACTTCAAACACCGTCTGTTTACATGTGAATGGCCAGGGGCCCAAGCTAATGTCGAGTAAAAGAAAGTAGGTCATTTTTGAAATTGATTTCAGAATATCTCAAGAAATATATGGAATTTCGGAATGAGCTTTGGTAGAATTGAAGAATGTTTATCTATAAATAGATTTAAATAGAAAGTAGAATTTTAGAGCATTCGAATAAAAAATATTTTATTAGCGAAATTAGGTACCCAGTGTAAGAGTTCAGTACCTTTATTTTTTTTTTTTACACACACAATTTTTTTAAGCGATCCAAAGGCCTGTGGTTCAAATCATACCATCATGGGAAGAACAGAACATTGCTATGAATTCATTGAATAACCATAAATAATCACAAAATAAATGTCTTCTGCTTCTCCTACCTATTTTTGTTGTCCTTACTTTCGTTTCAAGCGAAGAATAATGTGTTGGGTCTATTTGTCTAATCTGTCAGTCATTAACGTGCTATGTGACTTTCCAACCTATGGACTTGAAGTTAAGTCAAACCAAATTATTTTTGCATTTTAATTTCATTTTCGGACAATATCTTGAAGTCTTTTGCCTTTACAATAAAACATTATACATTTATGGACTGAGTTCGAGGGTCGACAAAACGCATTTTGCCCGAGAATTCAGTCAATAAATGTTGTGTAATACCTTTCATTTTATTTTATTTATTTTTTTTTTACATATACATGTACATGTATTTTGTATTGTCTTTCGTGCACGTGGTGTAACATCAGGTTCGTCACTTTTGAATGAAGCTCCGTCCATTCCGTGACGTAAGCGGTCCAACATCTCACTCAGCGGTCCAACATCGATTTTTGCCCGCTCAGCAAAACATTAGAAATGTTAGACTTTTTTCCGTAAAGATTTGTACAGGAACAAATTTCTAAAGGTATAACAATTTAAAATGAAAACTCACTATATTTAACTTTAAGACTTCTTTTATGCTAGAGGCAGTCTGACTAAAGCCAACCCCTACTATTTCACTTCGTTCGTAGGACGAAGTGGAAAAAGTAGAGGCTGGCTTTAGTCAGACTGATGCTAGAGGTCAAGTTCTGAAATTCCAATGTTGCATTAATCAGTTTCCAGATGATAAGATTGTTTTAATTTAACCTTCACTGCACAGTAAAATATTTATAAATGACATGTGCATTACTTATACCTGTCGCAATACTTTACATAGGCGTCGGAACCGGGGGGGGGCTTATTTTTTTTGCAAATATATACATTATATAGTCATTGAAATTTGGAGTTTATCCTTTTTTTGGTTTAGCACCCCCACCTCCCACCCCCCAACTTTCAAGTAGCCCCCGGCCCCCACTTTCAATTTGCTTCCGACGCCTATGCTTTATTTAACGTGCTATGTGACTTTCCAACCTATGGACTTGAAGTTAAGTCAAATTCTCAATTCTTTTTTGTATTGTTGATAATTATCTTCAATGAGAAGAGGTATGGCATTCGATCACCGGGTTATCATATTTGATGTGAGCATTACTTATACCTTTCATAATACGGTTCTGAACGTGCCGTGACTTTTTAACCCAAACTTTAGGATTGGCGATGGCAGGACCTTAGGTCACCGGAAATTCATATTTGACCTGTGCATTAGTTGCTCTTAAGACGTTTTCTAAAATGTTGTGGGGGGTTTAAATCCCGTGACCGTAACCTTGAAATTTGAATTTCAGTTTTACTTTTCGAAAGATAGATGTTCATAAAGCTATCATTGAATGATAAAAACAATAAAGAACAGGAATATACCGGTATGTAATATTTTTATTGTATTAGATTATACACTAGTGTTTAATTATTAGTCGATATGGATCAAATTTATATTTCATAGTCCAGCTGTTACAACAAATAAATACAAACAAGTATATATACACCGGTATTGGTTTCATTTCTGTTAACATTTTAGATTTTTTGTAACCTGAAGGAATTTTTTGCTCTTAAGGTATGATCTCTTTCGATGATGTTTTCAATCATTTTTATGGAATGCTTTCTTCTAAGTAAATATAATATAGCAAATAAAAACCACCTTAATTAAGGTCAAGATCTAGTAAATGAAAGGTGCCTACAGATTTATCAAATTTGAGAAATAAATTCCTTTAATGATACTTTACAACTTTAGCGTGGTCAGATAAGGTGTTTCGGGGCATAATTTGTAGGTAAAAAAGATGAAAACCCATGTTTTAAACTGTCATTTTCAATGAAGTAGTAAGAGAACCAGTCATGAATATGGGAGGGGTTTTTTTCATATTCGACAAAGGAAATGTATGCAGATTGCCTACAGTCTCTCAGAAAACGGTAATTTGTATGTTCATTGTCTCTTCTTTAAAATAACATCAAATTTAATATAAGTATCCTGATTCGTTTTCATATGATTTCATATGGAATGCCATGAAAATACCCTATTTTCTATTATAATTCTGCTAAAGCCGTAGAGTACGGGAAAAAGAAAGTTGATTATGACGTCATAATGGATCTAGCACCAAGTATAATATTTGTTAAATCAAGGATTTTTTGAGAAGTATATTTTGGATAAGTACTCATAAAGTGTAACTCAAAATAGCAAAGAAAATAGGAGGTCAGTGTGCATCCTACTGATTATTTAAGTTGACCTTTTTGCACTTAAATTTTATCTCTTTGTAATTACTTTAACCCTTATTATATTTGATCAGATGTAAGCATGGCAAGAAACACAATCTTATTTTAATAAAATAGTTTGAATAATATTTATCATTAAACAAATCTTGCAAATTAATGCGCGTAAATTATTGTGTGACCTTTTTTGCACTAAAAAATAACATATTTGGTGTATTAAAAAACTTAATAAGCAATAAAAAATTTTCTTATATCAAACTTTTTACGACTTAAGTGCTGATCAGTACAAGTATCGAGTAGTTTAAAATAATGAAAGAAAAAGGTGGGGTCAGTGATGTTAATTTTGAAATATTTGTCAAAATATGTTTTCAGGCAAAAAATTGTAAATTTGATCTTGATAATATATTTTCATTTTTTGGAAAAGTTTGTTGAGGGAAGGTGTAAAATTAGTCTAAAAATATAAATTTCTATATTAAATATTTTTAGCAATATCAAAACGGAAACTATTCTACAGTAAAAGTATATATTCCATTACATTAAATTTTATAAATGTAACATTTTAGAATTTTTGTAATATCCTTCCACCAAAAGAAATAGTTCATAAATCTTGCTTCTTTGTAGATTTTTTAGCAGCATTTTCATTGAATTTTAAAAAAATTACATTGTTGAATTTAAATATGTTATAAAAATTGAATTTAAATAAGTAGTTTTTAATATAAAAGCAAATAAAAAGCTGACGAGTGACTTAATTAAGGTCGCGGGTTTGTCGAAGATTAAAACTACGCAATTTATATGATTTGGGCCGACTTTCTTGTGCACATCTGATTATGACGTCACAACGAGAAATGGGAAAATTCAGTACTATTATCTAGCCAATCTCTCACCAGAGGGCGTTTTACGCGTCCGCTCCAACACGTAAGCGGAGCGCGCCCTCTGGTGAGAGATTGTTATCTAGCTATAACTTGTTGAAATTTGTAGTTTTGTGTAACAGTATTCATACTGCAGGGGCGTAGCTAGACGAAAATGATGTGCACGCCAAAAAAGGCAGGGGGTCTGGGGGCCGCCTTGAGGCCCCCAGTGGGTACAGGGCTTCGCCCTGGTGGGGGCCCAGGGGGCGAAGCCCCCGGGCTTGGGTTTTCACGTTTAGACTGAACAAAATTTACGGTATTTTTAAATATATAACGTACGCTACGAGATTAAGTCAACTTCGCGATATTTTGATTTATGACACCAAAAAATAATAGATCTATTAATATTTAAAAAATACATATTTTTTTTTTTTTTTGATAAAATCAAGTGCATTGTCTTAATTTTTGTGATTACTTTAAAAAGGTATTTTTAGTTCCATTTTTTGTCTAATTTTTAAATAATGAAAATAAAACAAAACAATTTCAATCCAGCAAATTTAATTTCCCCAAAACGTGTCGCGTCATGTTTCGTGTTTTATCGTTTATCCTTTACCTATTTTTATTTGTATATATATCTCGACAAATTTTACTATTATTTATCAGTCATTGGTGCTAAGAATTTTTATAATTCTTATTGTTTCACCTAGTGCTTCCACTAGTTGACACTTAACTCCATGTATGATCGGCCACCAAAAAATGATTGTAGCAACACGTTGGTTATTTATTTATTTATTAATTATTTATTTTTAGAAAATATTTAGTAGTCTACACGATCATACAGAGGCCTGTTCTCTTATTAGAACAGAGATTTTGAGGCTGGAAGCACTAGGTGAAACAAAAAGATTGTAAAAATTCTTAGCACCAATGACTTATAAATAATAGTAAAATTTATCGAGATATATATACAAATAAAATCCGGATTAACTATAGGTATTACATATATAACGTTAGGCCTGCAGGCATAGTAAGTTTACACGGAATCTTTTAGGAATTTAATTTTTTATATGACGATATAATCGATTTTTTAATAATTATTTTATAAAAATGCACAGTAATTTTTTTTTGGAAATGTGCACGCCATGGCGTTTTGCGTATACAGTACGCCCCTGCATAGAACATGCTGAAGTCATAAAAAATGAATTCTTTTTATACATGTATATCAGTCGAAAACGAAATATATGTATTTAAAAACAGCGTAAAGAGATAGAAGAGTAACATTATAAATAACATGCAATACGTATTAAAAATTAAAAATAAGAAAAACCCCAGAAAAACGGAAAGGGGGGTTCGATACCCCAATTGCCTGTGTAAGTAACGGCATACGTTATTAATTTCATGATTGTACATAATTATTTTATTTGCTACGTTGCTTTCCATGTTCATTCAGTAGAATTAATGTTATACTAGTATACATGTACATTGAAAGTCTAAGAACAAAATCTGCCTGTTGATTATAGATACCCCTGTGATTACGCTAAATAAAATTAATGTTCAGATTCTCGTCCCATTTACTCCTCTAAAAATTCCTTACAAGGTTTTTAATAATTTTTAGAGGAGTAAATGGGACGAGAATCTGAACATTAATTTTTTTAGCGTAATCACAGGGGTATCTGTTCCAGAAGGGAATACAAGGTCACTTTTATTTGCAAATCCGACAAGAATCTGTGCATGAAGAAAACAAAACAAAAAGAAAAGAAACGGTAAGAAATCAACACATAAAGAAAATATAAAAAAAGAAACTAAAGGACTGATTGTTGGTTTACGCCTCTTGCGAGAATTTTCACTAATATTTGACGTAAAGAGAAAAATGTCTAATAATTGTTTTATTGGTTTATTGACTTATTACGATGTTGGTCATTTGAAAGCAGATAGACGTGAATTTCCTATTTTAAAAAAATCAGTATAATTTGTTTGTTTGTTTGTTTTCGCTCTGTGCACCGGATCGATATTCACGACGTCAAGCGTGACGTCGCGATATTTTATGACGTCGTTCTTAAAGAGGCTGGGGTGGCAGCCATTTTTAGACTATTTCGATCTCCTTCAAAAGAAGAGCTCCATATAAAGATATACAAAAATGATCAAATTTTAAAACTAAAATGTATGATTTTTTTTTTTTGCCAAATGATAGTTGACAGCTTAAGACACCGTATCTAAAAAAATAAGTTACATCTGGTGGTTAATTTGTGGTTAATTTGTTGACCCCCAGCCTCCTTAAAAATGCTACATTTTTCAATATAAAAGCAATTATCTACAATTAAATTACGAGAAAATGAACCCGAAGACATATTAATTTTTTCACATAGTTTTATTTCAAATCAATTCTAGTTTTAAATACCAAAGGATAAACAAATTCGTCTGCACAATTTAAATAAAAACCTTGCATGAAAACAAGCCAAAAACGACGTTTTTCCTAAAAAATTCAATAGAATAATGTCGAAAATGTTACTACAATGAAATCTTTGGAATTCAATTACAAAAAACGGTGTAGACGAATTTTATAAAATTTTCAGAGAATGGAAATCAAAGGTAGAGAAATCATATCGGTAATTTTCATGGTATGTTTTCGGACACTTTTAAAAGCCCCGCAAACCCGCGACCTACGTTAAAGTCATTTACTAGATCTTGACCTTAAGGGGGCCGAGTGGGGTTTTATTGTGTGAAAACTACAATAGCGAAACTCTTCATTTTCATACCATATATAACATACATTAACTCCAGTGTACATGCCAAGTTTGGGTAAAATCTACCGTCCAGGTATTTTTAAGGGACCGTTTCAAAGTACAGGTACATTTACTGTAGGATTATGTAAGAAAATACCATTTTTTTTCTTTTCAAAGCAAACGTAACAACGTCAACCTACCAATCAATAGCAAAATCGGTTAAAAATCAGTTATATGAAATTATAATGACATATTAAAACCTGTATTTCCTTAATTTTGTTTAATTTTATCAATTAAGCAAAAAAAAATTGCTTTAAAACAGTCAATACGCTTCATTTTACTATGATGTGCGAAATATTGCGCAATGAAAACCACAGCCCCCCCCCCCCCCCCCCCCCCGAAATGTCAAAAAGTTTAATTAATGTAAACAAAATGAAAAACTTCATTTATTTATTGTTTTAATTTTAGAATGTTTGGAGTCCCATTACGATGTTCTCTGCTGTACTTTGCTCTACTAGCATCTGGTGAGAAAATATCCCAGAAGTTCAGCCTCGGGGCATTTAGAGAGGACTTTAAAAGTGTCGAAGAAACTTGTCAGGCGGTTGGATATGTCAAGAGAAATTGTCAAAATGTCTCCGGTAAGAACGTTTTAAATAAGTTCCATTTTGCATGTCAAATAGGACAACTTCTATGATTCCCAGTTTGGATTCCCAAATCGTATTTCTGTCTCCCGCATGATGCAGTGGTCAGAGTCCCTAAGTAAGATGTTGATCCTAACAAAGAGGGTTCGAATTCAATGTTTGACCCGGAGACTGGTTATGATATGAAACTATACAAACCGCGAGGTCCCGGGAAAGGTGGTGGCCAAAAATGATCCCCCAAATCCTAAAGCCCATAAAAGTGCCGAGTACCGGTCTAAATTTGAAACCCTCAATTGACAAGTGGTTGCATCTCAATACTATACATATGAAAGAAAAAAATTCTTAATGAAAAGTATAACTCTCGTAAATCTTTTAAAGCTAGCATTTTTTCCAATTCACAAAATTCGCTCTTCATTTCTTTGGCTTATTTTTATTGCTAAATTTATCTTAAAATACTAATATCATTTACTTTTTCACACATAAATTAAAGTATTTTTTATTTGCTTTTCAGCTACCCACATTATTGCTTTTCATGTCCAACTGAAAAATGATGTTGGAAATCTTGGAAATAATGCAAAGGTAGTTTTTGAGACTGTTGTCTTGAACGAAGGAAACGGATATGACGCAAAATCTGGTATCTTCACGACTCCGACTTCCGGGATCTACGTATTTGATTGGACAGCTGCTGCCCCGGGTGCCAGACATGCTTACACGGCATTACGTGTTAATGGGATCGGAAAAGCGTGGACAAACTGTCACTATGGTGGAAATAAATGGATGACTTGCAGTAAGATGGTCGTGTTGAAACTGAAGAAAGGAGACAAAGTACAGATTGTTGTTCACAATGGACCTGGATATTTGATGAAGAAAAATACTTCATTTTCAGGATACAAACTTTAGTCTTTAAATGAAGGGTGTATAGTTTGTTTGTTTGTTTGCTTTTCAAAATAAAAACTATGATGAAAAGTAAAAAAAAAAATATTCATGAGCATCTGTTTTAATATTTGATGAAAAGAGAAATATTACGGGACATACCGGTAGATATGTATGAAAAACGAATTAAAAGATATAATTTAACGAAAAAAGGTAAAGGTCACGTCCATTTTAGCTTTTTAAATTCCAGGGCCCAGGTTTCCATTTTGATTAACGTAATACGACTTCCATTGTTATTGTAATTGTGCGATTCCCCCCATGGGTTATTGATTTTATTGTAATTGAATGAAAAACAATTTTTTTAAAAGATATTATAAATCGGCAAATCAAATTTTAATATCTAACAAAGAGGAAGCCTTTTCAACACTTTATACAACCATTACCCACGACAAATTAAAGTCCAGGCTTTTTATATCATTGACAGCTGCATTTTCAATAAGAATTGAACTCGTAAAACTTACCTTGTCATTGGTCTTTAGAAAAATATTTTGTTAAAAAAAATCTTTGATTGTTCACATAATAAATCTAAAATGACATCGAAAAAATGCTAAAGCTATCCTAGCTAGTTTTCTGATTGACATTATCTATATGTAGTTTTTGGAAATCGGTCCTTCCAACAATCTGTCGGAATTCCCATGAATACCAATTGCGCCTCTTATTTAGTAGATCTATTTTTGTAATCATATGAAGCAGAATTTATTTAAAACCTTAAACATAAGAATTTAAGAATTTAAAAACACTTGCTGCTACTTTCAACTCGATATGCATGTATATAGGTATATCGACGACGCATTATATATCATTTTACAATTATATAATTATAGTACATGTATGTATAATTATTAATAATCACTTATTTTCGTTGGGGTTTAACTTTCGTTGATTTAAGGTATTGAGAGATCCACGAATTTATGACCACCACAGTTATGTAAATTTTCTTGTGCATTACTACTAAACATTCTCCAACAGCGAAATCAAATCCTTATACAAAGCAATATTTTTTCCTCAAACTTCGAAAATTTGAACTCTTGAAAACATGTGTTTTTACGGTAGTTACTTAGATATTTATATGTGGACTTGATATATATATGTACGTCCCATTGAGCTTGAAATGGAGGATACCACAGATTCTAACACACCTCTTTTTTATTTGGATATTTTCTAGAAAAAGACATTGAAGGTAACCACGGGCCTTTAGATCGCTTTAATTCGACTTAATTTGAAGTGTTATCTTTTTATACATGTACATTCCATTTTTTGAGTCGGATTTTTAAAAGCGATCTAAAGGCCTGTGAAGATAACCTAACTAGGAAACTGTATGACTAACTTTTCTGTCGTCAACCCCCTTAGTTATACACTGTATGTAGCAATATATATACCAGTACTTTTATCACCTCCAGTTGGGGTTTGATTAGATACGCTCGCAAGTGCATGCTATACGTATAAAGAACAATTTCTAAAACGAGAAAAGCTAATGTCAATTGACAAGTTGATGAATCAAGGATATCAACAGTCTCGTTTAATTAAAGTCATTGCAAGTTCTATGGTTGATACAATGGCCTTGTCAGCAAATACAATCTGTCATTAAGTTGAATGTTGACTGACGTTTTTTCATATCAATTGTATCCAATAATTTCCCACTAATTTCCCTCATCATTACTCGGTGTAAACAGCGGTTGTGACCCAACAAGGAATGCTCACTCCTTCATGGCACCTGATTCCACCTCTGATGTTTCTAAAAGTTCGTGTTTAATTGCTCCGCTCCTAATTTGAAGTGTTTAAATGGATTTCTGAGGGTGATTACGGTTTGTTCATATTTCTTCTTACCCCCCCCCCTTTATAGTAATAAAAATCTACATGGTAATGCCTTCCCCAAACCTTTAGGGGGTGGGGGCTTGGGGCGTAGATTCAACAAATCGTACTCTGCACTTTTTGGGGTTTATTCAATGATGACTTTTCCTGAATATTTTCCTTAAAATTCCTTTGGGGACTTACCCCCAGGCAGAGACAGGGGATTCCCCGTCAACGCCTGGAATTTTCATATACATGTATATCAAATAAAATATCTATGTAAAAGTAAAGAAAATTTATCCAAGGACCCATTTTTGTAATAGCCCCCCCCCCCCCTTTTGAAAGGAGAGTAATGCATCTTTAGAAAATTAACTTTGCAAATTGTCTTCTATTTCCCTTTTCCCTTGAAAGACATTTGTTTTCCCAGGTTTCGGAAAGTTGTCTTGTATCAGATGTAATTCTAACAGCATAGATGATGAAACTCATTTTTTAATAACATGTAAAAATTTGATAATCAAAGAAAAGAAATGTAATGAACAAAAACTTTATTGGTTACTCAATACAGAAGATAGAAAACTCTTAATTTTGTAGGCAAATTTATAAATGATAACATGTTATAGTAGTATTAGTCTTTTACACATACATGCATATTGTTGTATTCCTTTTAATTGAAACAGGATTATTGTTGAAATGATTTATGTCAATTACTAATTGTATAATTGTTTTGCTATTCATTGGCTTATCTTTTCCTTAATTATTATTGTAATAATCTCATACTGTCTGTAATGGGCTCTAAATTAGAAATAAATGTTCTGTTCTGTTCTTAATTATCCTTGAACCAACCGTCTATGGTCAAGTTCAGATTATTAATTTCCTTTCCAATGAGCACAAATTGCCTTTTTTTCCAACATTTTCATGTACATTTTTTTTCAAAGATATATATTTATTTCCAAAAATCTTTATTAATCATCGGGTGTGGAATTCTGATTATGAACTCTTCGAGAAAACAAGGTAGAAAAAGTACCAAGTCATGTGTCTCCTATGTTTACACTTCGGACAGGCAAATCATCATCTGACATCATAACTAATGATTGCTGAGAAAAATGTATTTCTAAATGGAAACTCGATATATCATTGCCATGGTTGTTGGATCAATTTTTGTTGGCTATGTGGTGACCTCGGTGATACTTTTTCGGTTCCCTGCAATCTTGCACAGGAAAAAGAAGCTATGTTTTCGACCAGCTCATATAAGTCATAGAGGAGGTATGGAATATGACTATGGTAGTAAATAATAAAAGAAATATGATTCTATTTATCTTTGATTAACTCAGAATTTTACAATTTATGTCTATTTAACAGTCTTACAGAGTATTTCATTTAAAACCTCTTTGTCTATGCTGTCATTTCTTCATGTCCCAGTATTTGCCCTGGTATTTCATACAATAAGCATATTGCTCCACAAGAAAATGTAAATTTATATTGCTAAATTTTCACTTGTAATGAATACCTGACTGCAGTCTTTACTAAATAAAACATTAACCTGTTAACATTGTATAAATATGATAATCTCGATATTCAAAGAGACTAAAAATGTGAGTGTGACTAAAATGGGTAGCGAAACCCGGGCCGGGCCGGGATTTTCGATAACGAAAACCGGGTTTTTGATAATCACGAAATAAATACTCATTCTTTCTTCATGAAATTTACGGACATAGTTTATTATTCTAGGATTGGCCTTCGCTGAAAGTTTTAGGTCAAAATGTTGTGTTTTTCAATGATTATCACCGATTGTCCTTTTCCAAGTGACTAAAATGGGTAGCGAGCCCGGATTACTCATTTTGGCGATTTAAACTTAATTTCGGCAGCATATTTACAATTACTTCATTTGGATCTTTGAAACTGAACTTAAACTACCTAAAACATTTAACTGTTGCAGTAATAAATCACGATTATTGAAAATATACGCATTTTTTGAACACCCGGGATTGGTCGAAACCGAACACGTTCACCCGGGAAAAACCTATTATTTCCGAAATACTTATCAGACAATGACATATAATTGAAATACAAATGACTCTTTTTTGGATTTGCATATTTTTATTAATTTTTTTCAATTTATTTCTTAGATTATCTCAGTCAGGGACTGAAAAAAATCTACATTCTTTTTCTGGCAATACGGAATTATCAATTTGTCCCGGGCAAACGCGTCCGGTTTTGAACTGTCCCGGGTCTATGAATAATGACAAAAACCCTAATAATCGACATTTAATTTCATAATGATTGAACAATTTAACTATTTCAAGTTAATAAACAACCATTAAATGCAAATTTCACAAACACTTTCGATGCATTAAGCTTAAATTCGCCAAAATGAGTAAACCGTGCTCGCTACCCATTTTAGTCACCTGGAAAAGGACAATCGGCGATAATCATCGAAAAACACAACATTTTGACTTAAAATTCTCAGCGAAGGCAAAACCTATAGTTATAAACTATGTCTGTAAATTTCATGAAGAAAGAATGAGTATTTATATCGTAATTATCAAAAACCCGGCTCTCAGTTTTGAAATTCCCGGCCCGGCCCGGGTTTCGCTACCCATTTTAGTCACACTCTAAAAATGTTGGTCTGACGTCTCTATGAGAAAATTTCGAGTCTCTACAGTTATCGCCGAGATTATAAATATATTTTATATACATATGAAATTCAATTGGTAAATAAAGTTGTTAAAAATATATGATAATAACATATAATATTTCAATTAAAAGTTCATTAATTTTCTTAACAATTACAATGAGTCAAGATTATAAAGTACATTGTATATTAGATAATTTTGCATTTATTAATTTTTTTCCTTTTGTAGGTGCAGGGGAAAATATTGAAAATACAATGACTGCCTTTAGACAGTATGAAAATTTTAGATTTCATAATTAAGACATACTAATGTAGAGCTGCTGCAATTGTGCAGTTCAAGATATGTCATTAGGGCAAAAAAGATTTTTTTTAAAAAGAATTTTAAATAAATTAAACAACTTCTTTCAAAACTTTCTTTTTCAAAATGATATTTAGAATTAAAAATTCTGCAATACAGTAAAGAAATATTTTGAATTCCAACATGTTTACTTTATGGTTATTTTAAGTTTGTTATTTGTAGTGCCCTGTCATTAGGAACAGAGATGTTGGAGCTTGACTGCCAGATCACTAAAGATGGCAAAGTGATTGTGTCCCATGACAGCTCGTTAAAACGCGTGTGTGATGTGGAAGGGGTCATTGGAGATTATAATTATGAAGTATGGAACAGAATTTGTAATATTTAAATTCATTAATTTTTTTAAAGCTGCAAAATCATGTAAAATCATGGATTTACAATACCTCTTACATGTACCATACTAAGCATACTTTTTAAAATACAATTTAGAATAATTTTCTGGAACTCAGAATCACAAGTATTAGGAAAAGGCAGTCATTATAATTTTTTATATGTCTAAACTTTGATTACAGAAATCTTGGGATATCTGAAGGTATCATTGAGTTCAAGAAGGTTTGATTGTAGGTATTTGTAGTGCCATGCCATATCTTGATGATATCCTAATAAAATGATTTACCGCATAGCGGATTATTTTAGCGGGGTGCTAATTTTGGCTTATTTTGGCGTTTTGATGATAGTCTGTTAAAATTTTAATCGCTAAAATAGTCAGTACTATTCTTAGTGTCCATCTGCAAATAGCTGAAACCTTGTGTCCGCTAAAATAAATTACGCCAAAATTATTGGCATACCTTTGAGCAGGCAAAACGCCAAATTTTACACCCGCCAAGAAAACCCGCTATATGGTATTTTCTTCATTAATAAATAGGATCTGCCTCTATTAAAAGAATGCCATCCTCTGGATTTTAAACGAAGTATGTTTATATTACATGTATCAAATCAATATCAGAATGATATACTTGTACTTTCTGTCTAAGAGTAAAGTTATATATATTCATGGAAAAAATTACAGTATTTATCATATATAGTATAACATATTTCTCCTTTTTATTGTACTTTTTGTCTAAGAGTAAAGTTACATATATTCATGGAAAAAATTACAATATTATATCATGTATAGTATAACATATTTCTCCTTTTTTTGTACTTTTTGTCAAGAGTAAAGTTACATATATTCATGGAAAAAATTACAATATTATATCATATAGTATAACATATACTTTTTGTATATACATATATGGAAAAAATTACAATATTATATCATATAGTATAACATATTTCTCCTTTTTATTGAATGCATTAATAACTTTTGAATAATACATTTGTATTTATGATTCTGTTTGAAAGATTTTGTTTATGATGGCACTGGATGCCCAGACAGGAAGTTTCCATTGTTAGAAGATGTTTTTAAAGAGTTTCCCAAAACACCTATTAATATAGACATCAAAGTAGATGATGATGAACTTATAGAAAAGGTAATCAAGGAAAATCTGGAATTTTTAATTAATAAAGCATTTGAAAAGGTTAGGAATTTAGTATTTGAACTTCACCCCATGTAAAATTAATAAAAAGAAATTTTGTATCACTGATGTGAAATTGTTTATCAATCTCTTAATATATCTGAGCATGATGACTGAAAATACATGTGAGTGAAAAATTTAATACAATTTGACCATACCCACATTCTCAATTGAAAGGAAAAATGATTTATATTCAACATCTATTCAAGAAAATCAGCTAAATTCAAATGGTTTTATTTCTGTAACTTTTATTTCAGGTGAATAATTTGATTGTGCAATATAACAGAGAACACATAACAGTCTGGGGAAACAGAAGCTCTACTGTGGTGGACAAATGTTATAATGTGGTAAATATATCCAAGTTATGCAGTTGCAAGGACATATAGAACCATTTTTGTTTAAGAAATAATTTTTCTTCTATTAACTTGTCACAGTTGAAAGTGTGACCATTAGGGTGAGTGCTGCAACTTTCATGGACCTATTTAGTTTATTACTGCATACTTCAACTTGTACCTGTACTGACATACTTTCTAAGATCTGTGTAGATAGTAATAGAACTCTTCAAAGTGAAAGAGACATTTGAAAGATCTATATTGTAACAGTATGGGAGGTTGTATGTTATTTATATTTCTATTATGTTGCCTTTAAAAAGAATAACAATTTACAAAGAGAATTTGACCTACTTCTCTATATGTCTACAATTTCCATTTAAACAAAATGGGTTTATTTTTCATTTGTGAATATTTGTTTGATTATCATAAGATTTAGAGCTAGAGAGCATACCTCAGTTTGGAAAATTGGTCTGTTTGAGGTGCCTTGTAAGTACAGCTGTACCAAGTTTAATTTTAAAAAAGTCTATTGGATCAATATGCAGTACAATGTAGTGGCTTAAGCCACTTTTTTCTCATTACAAAGTGCTGACTCACTGTGCTCTCTATGGCTGGTTTATCAGAACAGCAAAATTTGACCATTTATCAAAATGATATAGACAGGAACAAGGGGATATATTCCATGACATTTCAACTGTAAACTTTTTTGTCTTATTTTAGAATCCAAACATTCCCACTTTGTTTCCAGTTGGAGGAGTTCTGAAGTTGCTCTTTCTTTTCTATACTGGGTTACTTCCCTTTGTACCATTGAGGGAGTCCCTGTTAGAAGTTTTAATGCCAAGTATTTTATTAAAGTAAGTGGAGAAACTGTCATTTAATTTTATTCTGTCATTTTTATTTTACCTATTTCTATTTCAATTGTGAAAAAAGACATTGTGAATCATATTACATATTAATTGTATCTTTTTTCTCTATTGGCACGTGACACTTTAATAAGTATGATTTGTCTTTTCTTTATTAGGGATGATGTTATCCCTTTTATTGGAGCAAAAATAAGGTTTCTTCTGAGAGTGGTAAATGTGTGAGTATTTTCCACTCTTTTAAATAATCCTCTCTGTAAAAAAAAATATGACTTTTATGGGAATTATTTCATTCAAGAGGGATAAACACTTTGATATAGGAATATATTTGAACCACTATTTACATTGTGCAGCTGAGCTTAATTGGTATCTCAGAACCTAATATCTTGAATATCTTTTGATATGTTAATTAAACTGATTATGAAGCATAAGCACTTTTTCTTTAAGTATTTTACCTTCAATATCTTAAACCATGAATTTCTCACTCTTTTCACGTTTGAGATAATGAAGTCTGACTTTTTGTTATGGAAATGCATATACTTGTAGTATAAATAACAGCTGATAAATAATAATACGAGATTAACATATTTTCCGTAGATTACTAATGAGTCCAGCTCTGTTCCATCATCTTGAAAGGAGAGGTATTCAAGTAAGTCTTGAGAATATGCTTAATTTCACCCTTTTAAACTTGCTAACAATTTTGCCCTGTTTTAAATTCGCCCAGTCACAGTTCTCTTTAAGAATTTATACTGTGTTCTTTGAATTTTGCCCCGTTTTAAATTCGCTCACTTTTGACAAGGGCAAAAATGAAACGGGGCGAATATTTCCCTGTATACAGTATACTATTTCATGGTAAATTATATTTGATATACATGTACATGTATATTTAGAATGTTAACCACAGCATACCTCATCTTCGCTAGCCAAAGGTTTCCAATCCAAAATCTGCTCTACTAGAATTCGGATCGGAAACCCTTGGCTAGCGAAGATGCCAGGGTGGTAGGTCTTCAAAAAGCTTGACATATAAAATGAAAATCTAGAAAGATATGAACTGTGATCAGTCTCATAAATCCTCTCAAAAATACAAAACATAAATGGGGTAAAAACTCAGACCTCTGGAAATGCAGGAGGTGGGATCAGTTGCCCGGGAGGTGTAAGCATCCCCTATCATCAGACTCCATAGAATTGGGAAGTAACAGTTTAAATATTTTGCTTAGATCATAATAAAACAAGAGGCCCACGGGCCTTATAGGTCACCTGAGTATCGTGTAACAACTTTCAAACAATTAAATTTGGTTCATGTTTTAAACCAGAGGCCATGAAATTCACAATTCATAATTTTGAAAGAGGCACCATTGCTTATCATAATTAAAAAACTTAGCATGCTTACTCTACTTACTCAATACCCAGAGGTAGATCTGAGTTACAAACAGAAAATGTTCTTCCACTTTATAACTAGTTGTGCACCTCACCCCAAAAGAACCACTGACCCTGGGGCCACATATTTCAAAATTTTGCAAATTTTATCAAAAATGGTTGATTAATACCAAAGAGCAGATTTCAAAGCATTAATTTATTTTCAGACTATGTAACTCCCACCCCCACCCCCCTTGACCCAGGGGGGGGCATAAAAAATAAACATTTTCCTACATTCACCTTTCTTCATCATAAATATATATAATTCGATCATTGGCTTAAAACCCAGAAGCAAAGGAAAATATTTTCAAAGAATTAATGTATTTTTACTGAATAATCAAAAGAGCCCTGGCCCTAACACCTGAACCCCTGACTCTGGGGCCATAAATTCACAATTTTGGAAAAGGCACTCTTATCATAACTATGTGCTTAGTTAGTTTATTTAATACTCAGAAGCAGAAAAGAAGATTTTAAAAGAATAAATGCATTTTCACTATATAATCAATAGAGCCCCACCCTAACACTAGAACCCCTGACTCTGGGGCTATAAAATTCACAATTTTGGAAAAGGCACTCTTGCTCATCATAAATTTGTGCTTAATTAGTTTATTTAATACTCAGAAGCAGAGAAGAGGATTTTCAGAGATTAAATGCATTTCCACTATATAATCTCTAGAGCCCCACCCTTACACCAGAACCCCTGACCCTAGGGCCATCAAATTCACAAATCTGGAAGAGGCACTTTTGCTCATCATAACTATGTACTTAGTTAGTTTATTTAAAACCCTGAGAAGCAGAGAAGAAGATTTTCAAAGAATAAATGCATTTTCACTATATAATCTATAGAACCCCGCCCTAACACCAGAACCCCTGACCCTGGGGCCATCAAATTCACAAATCTGGAAGAGGCACTCTTGCTCATCATTACTATGTACTTAGTTAGTTTATTTAATACCCAGAAGCAGAGAAGATTTTCAAAGAAATAATGCATTTTCACTATATATTCTATATAGCCCCGCCCTAGCAGTAGAACCCCTGACCCTGGGGCCATGAATTTCACAATTTTGGTAGAGATCATTACATTCATGCTAACAGTTTGCCTGCTTGAAGTCCAGGAGTAAAAGAGAAGATTTTTAAAGATTGCAATAATTTTAGTGGTTTTGGCCCCACCCCTCAGGCCCCAGGGGGGCGGGGACCATGAAATTCACAATTTTTGTTCCCCTTTACCCATAGATGCTGCATACCAAATTTGGTTGAAATTGGTTTAGTGGTTTCAGAGAAGAAGCTGAAAATGTTCAAATGTTAACACACGACGACAGACGAAAACAGATAGCAATAGGTCACCTGAGTTACTCAGGTGACCTAAAAAATAATCAAATTAAGATAATATAGATAACATGTGTTAGTTAATTGTTTCATAAATTTATTTCAGACATATTTATGGGTCCTAAATGATGAAGAAGAATTTGAGAGAGCTTTCAAACTTGGAGCCACTGGAGTAATGACAGATTTTCCTACCAAACTGAAGGAATACCTTGATAAAAATCCTCAATACAAAAAGAATAATGACTCCCAGGAGTCTTGATGTTGTATTTATTAATGAATAATTGATTATCATGTAGCAAATCCAACAAGGAGCTTTATATAGTGACTAGTCTTCTATTAAAGTATAATTTTTTTACTTTACCTCGATCATATATTGTGATATTTTTTCATTCATGCTTTTTTTCACATTTTACATGCTTTAAATGTGGTCCAAAGTTTTGCATAAATGTATTAGAGAAAAACTCTCCTTATTATAATAGTTGTCCATTGAAAGACATTGCGGTAAATGCATTGTTAATCTAGGTGTAAGAGATAAAATATGTTTTTGTTATGCATTATTAAGTCACCAATTTTTATGGGGGTAATTTTTCATTGTTTTTATGGAATGGGGAGACCTACAATTTCATCCCCCTCTATTTGGAATACTGTACATGTATATAAAGTTTATAATATAAACTCTACACATTCATTCAATAATCTGATTATATGGGAGATAACTCTATCTTGGATCTGTAAATTGACTATTTAATTTTGGCCAATATGCTAAAAATGTAATATATTTGGCTTGTTTAATATGTATTTCAGTAATGAATTTTATTTCTTTTGGAAAACAATAAGCACAGAAAAAAGTTCACTTTTGTGCACAGAGTTTGATGAGCCTTAAATCACCACATCCAAACAATTCTTTTCCTCAAACCACAAAAATTTTATGCCACGTAAATAAGTGAATTTACTGTATGTTATGCAATTCATAATATCAGAGCAATGTAATTTCTTAATTAAAAAGTAGCTAAATTTCACAGAACTGTTGCACATCCAAGGCATTGACAGCTCTCACAAGGATGAAAAAAGTTATGAATGCACAAGAAGTAAAGGGGCAGCAATGATGCATAAATTTTGTTGTATTGGGAAAGTAACAGAACAAATGGAAATCATAAAGTATAATTAAAATTAATCATAATTTGTCATATCTCTTATTTGATTTGATGATAGATTTAATTTATTGAACATAAAATTCTTTCAGATATTGCAGTGATAGAGGTATTTTAAAAGCAGTTATTTTGTTTCATCATTTAAATAAGACTTGATGTACATTTCTGGTATAAGATAGTCTTGTTCATTCTGACCATTCCTGAATTTTTTTTTTTATCATCTTGAATATTTTTAAATTTACAGTAGATATTACTATTGATTAATGTACACTGAATAAAATTTTTTAAAAGGAAATTCTTTTGACTTTCATTCAGCAACCAGAGAAAAATTAACAATGAATGCAAAATTAAAGTTTTAGAACAATTAATAATAAAAATGAAATGGCATTAACAGAGCTTAGTGTCCCCCCCAAAAATGTGATTTTACAGAATTACTTTATCCTGATTCCAAATGAAAGGTACCTTTAGGTTCAAATTAATTAATGTAACCAGTCAGAACTCTTGGATTTCTGAATACAGGTATATTCTTTATTCCGACTTCTTTTTTGGAGTTATTACGTCATACATATTATAAAGTGACATCACAATATGTGTATATTTTTCTGATCTTTCCAATGAAGTAAAACTCAACATTTTATGTGAAATGGTTATTTTTTTATGAAACAATTCTCAGAACTTTTGAAATGCCCCTCCTATATACTTTTAATAATCAAACTTTATTGATTGAAAAAAATTAAGTAGAATAAAGAGAGTTAAGAGCAGTTCTGTTCTATTTTTATTTCCAGAAAAAGCACAATTCCATTTGAACTGATATTTTAAATGAGTTGCTACAATCACTTTGTACAGCTTTATTTTTTACTGCAATTTTAGCTGTTTACACAAAAATGAAACAATCATCGGATTTACACTGAAGTGAACCACTTTAATAATAATGATTATTGGTAAATGAAAATGAACAGGTAATGGTAAATTCGATATGTTGGTGATGCTGTGAAAAAAAACTATGAGCAAATGCAAAGCTGTACACAATAAAAATTTAGAGAGCAAAATTTACTCCAAAGATTATGATAAATGTACATAGAAAACAATTATTTTAACATTTCTTTTCTGTTTTAATGAAGAAACAGCAATCTGGTCATTTCACTTAATAGTTACAATACCATCAAATTTATTAATTTTCTACATTAAAAACAAAATGTACAAATGCCTCATCACATATACATACATGAAGGACAAGGTTAATACAAAATCATTAAAATGTCTCAGCTTGATTCTATGAATTTCTACAGACTTTTATTCCACTCAGGACATTCCAAAGAATTTGACAGATCTATCCATGCTTGCTGATGCAACAAATGTGGCATTGTGTCCGAATCTTACTCCTGTGGCCATGGCTGTATGGTCATTGAAGGAAATCAACTCCTGCCACTGCTTGCAGAGGTACACCCTATTTCGTATAAAAATTCAAACATGTAATGATCCATAAAAATTTTGATGCAACAAAAACTAACATTTACAAAACGTCGATGGCTTCTCATTATCTCAACAATGATAACATGCATTCCAATCTGTGTTCTGGTGATAAAATTCAAGGTGAAGCTATTTCTTACGTGTTTTTTAAAGTATTATCTATCACTGGCATTTTCTTAATACCACAAAGGATGAAGCAATTAATTTAAAGATATATCTTCAATAGATGTATATAAATATTTTTAAAAATTCTAAAACATCACAAGTCTTAGAGATGGATAAACCAAAGTGCTTTACAGAAATGTCCTTCAAACTTTGGGAAATCAAAAGTATCAGATAGGTATTTGATGAAAAGTGATATCAAAGGACCTATAAATTTGATTGTACAGTGTACTCATAAAAATGTCTTATCCATACCTGACATCTGATCCAGCCACACTCAGATATGTTCCACTCTGGTCAAAGGAGAGGGACCTCACCTAAAACAAAGGATTTATACATTAAACAGTGGATAATGAATTGCTTGCAAAATTAATGTCCTTCTCTCAATATGAAGTACTTAAAAGACAACTGTATGACAACAATATTAAAAGTTTTCAAATATATTGAAGTATTTATAATTTTGTATTTGAATTTATCTATGCCTACCTCATATTTGTCTGTCAGTTGAAGAGTCTTGAAATTCTTCAATTTCCTCAGATCCCACAGTTTCACGACTGAATCCTCAGCTGAAGTAGCCAAGTAGTAACCTAAAACAAGAAGGACCACATCAGGTTAGCTTCACTGCCCTGATTTAAATTCACCCAAAGTGAACACATAATTGTGTAAAAGATTTCATTCTTTGATTTTACCACCCTTTAATTTGTCCACTTGTGACAAGGGCAAAAGCAGCCAAATAAACCTTGGGTGAAAATCTTTAATACTGAATACTTTATGAGTAATGCAGTTTCTTATTCTGAGTAAAACAGCTATTACCATCTCTACACAAACTCAAAATGTTATATAAACCATCTCTAGACTTACTCAAAAAATTGAGGCTTTACTCCCAATAAATTTTCCCCATTATTTTCTTTGAAGTAGTGATCATATATTTATAAAACAAACCATTTTCAGAGAAGGCGATGCTGGTAATGGGTCCTTGGTGACCTGGGAAGTTAGCTACATTAAGTCTGCCTTTCAAATCCCAAATCTTGATCATAGAGTCCTCAGTTCCAGTTCCGAAAATAAGACCATCAGGGTGAAACTGGGCACATGTGAGAGCTGGAGAAAAAAAAATTAATCTTAATCATCATTTGTAAACATTGAGATGTAAAAGGAGTATTAAATATGATAAATTCTAATTTTTGTTGAAAAAGACATTCAGAATGATGATTCATCAGATTTTTAAAATATATTTGCCAGTAGTAGAGTCTATCTCATATATATACATACATGTATATACATATATACATGGAATATAAAACCTACCATGCTGAGATGATGGATCACTAACTTTGGTTAAAACTCGTCCTTGTCTTATGTCCGAGAAGGCCCAATGCTATTTAAAATTAGAATACATGTATTATTTTTTAAAAAATTATCAAAACTGCATGGATCAAAATGATTGTAATATGGAAATAGGGTGCATTAACAACAATTAAATCAAGTTAATATTAGCATGCACTAATTTTTCTCCCTGACAAAGTTATGGACTCTCCATGATTGTGCACAGTTAGACAAGCTCTTTTCTAATATATATCACTAAAATATTGCTTTCAGTTTCATTAACTTTAATTAGAAATTAATACAAAGTGACTAACCATGTCTGTGGAGGAGCTGAGAAGGTAATCTCCTGTAGCGTGCAGACTGATTCCTGTGACAGGGGCATCGTGAGCTCTGATCACCTGACCACACTGGGCGGTCTCTACCCCCCAGACACGGATCGTGGCATCAGGGGAGGCGGTAAAGACAAGTTCCTGTAAATCAGAATCAAAATATCTGTACAAAAATTACTCATCACAGAATCAGAGGCCAAGAAGAAAAAATAAATATTTTTAAATGATATGCAAAATCTTAACCTATCAAGAGGGATTAATTTAAAAATCATAAATGCATTTATAGCAGTTTTATCAGTTTCAGATATAAATTGGTTATCATTCCTGAATCTTAACCTGCAATTCTTATCCAACAGTATGATTCTAAATATATCACAGTTTTTGTTTACTTACATCTTCTGGATGATAAATAACACTTGTGACCTTCTTTGTATGACCTTTGAGAATGGCCATGACCTGCTCTGTGTCCTTGTTAAATACCACGGCATTTTTATCATTACCACCTACAAATAACAAACACCTCTACACATCTAGTTTTCAATCACTTCAAAGAAAGATTTTACTTCAACCTGAATTTTATATCAATACAAATTATTATCTGGGAAATTTCTTACCTGTAACAATTTTGGAGGTGTCCTTCAAACAGATATCCAAAGCCAGAATTCCAGGAACACTAGCACTGTGAAGTCCCTATTTGTAAAGAAAAAACACAATTATTACAATTTGTTCATTTCTTTTATTTTTCATCAACTGAAATTTACATCATCATTGAGTAAATGTACATGTAAGTAAATAGTGTAACTTACAGTGTGAGACGCCAGCTGTTTGAAAGATTTAATGTCTTCTGTTGTTGCAAGCCCTTCTGGTACAGTTTTACCTCTCTACAACAGATTGAAATCCATAGTTAGTCTAGTGATTTACTGTTCTGTACTGTCTTGTGAGTATTAAGAATTTTTAATTTCTATGTGATTACAGTATGCTTTTCGAGCAAGATAACAATATACTCTCACCTTTTTCCTTTCTGCTGTAAGAAGTGTGGCTTTGTCTTGTAACTACAAAAAGAAATATCATCAAGACCAAAAAATATTTCACATATGTTATTTTCAATACTCATTTTATTTAATAATAAATTTATATCTAAATCTATCAATCTCTACCTTTTGGAGCACTTCATCACTCATGCCAGTCTCCTCCATTGGTTGAATGGCTGACTCTGGTCCAGCTTCTGCACCATAAGTCTAAAAATAATTTTAAAATTCTGTCATTCCAATCATGTCTACAATAATACATACACATAACCTGCTTGGGTTTTATCAGAACTTACTGGTTGTGGAGCTGGGGCAGCGTAGGCACCAGCAGTGATCCCAGCCTGGGGCTTGAGGGTTGCCAACGCTGTAAGTAGGAAACAAGTGGAGTTTTAGTCAACTACAATCATGTAATACCTTAATCTTCAGGGTACATCTTTTTATTATGAGAATTTTTGGAGGTTGCCATAGACTGTGAAGGAGGGAGGTATTACACCCAGTTGAAAAATTATCTACTTTTTGAAGGTATTTGTGAATTATTTTTGGCAGAAGACCTTATATTTACATTGTTACAAGCATATCAATTGGTGCCACACATCTTTTTTTTTCTATTCTTGAAGCAAATTTTTACTATGTATATTCCCTTTGACAACGGAAAATGGTAATGTCTTTTGATAGTATACTCTTACCTTCTCTAGCAGCTGTGACTTCTTTGGTGAGACGAGCTATCACACGACAAGCAGCATCGTGTTGATAAAGAGCATGGGACAATTCTGTATGAAAAAGTCAAATCAAAGCATGAAATATTCTTAAATCCAATTTTTAAATTTCAAGGTATTTAAAAAAAAAAAATCAAAATTTTCCTTGACAAATCATTCTCACACCGTCTTTTGTTTACATTTCTGTGTTTATAAAATATGTTAAAATCCTGTACTGCTTTTGGTCATTCTTCAATTTTACATTTCAAGAAAATAAATTGCTAGTTTATAAATTCCAAGGAAAAGCATGTACTGAACCATACAATGGATTTAAATAAAGTGCCACGCCACAGCATGATACGCCCGTCAAAAAATTACAATTATAATGTATCTTAAACAGTTAAAAGTGCAGGAAAATCATGTCAACCTTGATTTTAAGATTTCAATGATTTTTACACACCTTAAAAAATTTGTTTATCCATCTCATGTGGTGTAGGCATTAATTATAACAAATATTGCATCATTCAGAGATTTCTATACCTTGCCAAATGCCTATCATGTTAAACAATATCAAATTAATTTTCACAACTTAATCTATACCTAATTAATTTTGGAAATAAAAGGCTGGCCATCAAATATAAACTGACCAACAGTTCTTCTGTCTAATTCCCGAAGGAGACAATTAAGAGCATGCTCTGAAGTAATGAAAGAGACATGCAGCTAGCCTTCCTACATTGAACACATTAATTAATCTTTAGCTGGATGCTTGTCTACTCATTACTCCCAAAAGATTATTGGATCTGCACTATCTACCATAAAACATTTTTAAAACGTATAAAACATCAATGATATTTTTTTTTTAGATTTAATGTCAGACAGTTAATTGTTAATATGCAATTCACATGGACATGCAGATTCAACCCCTACCCCCATAAAATTAATTTTTAAGTTCACAATATTATGTAATAGTTTAATATGCAATATCAAATTAGTTTTAATTACTTCTCATCAAATTCATTTTAAAACTTTGGCTATCCAAGAAGAGCTATTTTTAATCCAAAAGGCTTACCCATTTGGCCCAATACTCAAGGGATATAGATAGCACTGATGCTCTTACAGCTACTCCTCACACTAAACTCATTAATTTCTCTCTCTAATTTGACATGCAATTTTCTGTTATCAAAATTCTTCTTGACCAGTGCTTGATAATTAGACTCATGGGAGTGGTGGAATTTCTCTAAAAAAGGCCGGTTTACACTATGCATCTTGACACATGCATCTAAACTCATGCTTCAATTTTGAATCATGCATCCTCTTATTTACACTATGTGTCTTGATGCATGCATCTTTAGAATACTTTGTAAAGATGAAATTTATATTCTTAAAAAAATTAAAATATCTTCAAATTTCATTTCCTTATTTATTTTAGCTGAACATATCATTCTTAATTTCCTTTTTATGATAATTCTTGGAAGATATAATTTATAATTATTCCAAAACAAAACCCCCTCTATATTATAATAATCAAATTAGTTTTTTTAATTGTAGTTTTAATCAGTATTTTCTTTTTTTGTGTATCTTGGGAAACTATTTTTGCAATTATATGAAGGAAAATAAGGCTTATGATTCAATATCAACTCTGACCTTTCTTTTCATTGGTCAGTTCCATGCATCTTGAAGCATGGAATAGAACAAGTTCTATTCGATCATTCAAGATGCAACACCAATTTAATTTGAAACAAGGGGCTATTACACTGTGAATCTTGACACATGCATCCAAGATGCATGTGTCAAGATGCATAGTGTAAACCGGCCATTACATTTGTTATAGATTGCTGTCAAGTATATATGCTAAAAAAATAAGTATTTTCTTAATTTAACATTTTTCTAATAAGGTTAGTGCAATAGTTTTACATTTTTTTGAATGTGTAAATGAATAGAAAAAAAGACATTTCTTTTTAAAAATTCCACTTAAATTAAAGGTCACAGTGACCTTGAAATAGGTCGCGACACACCTTCTACCTAAGATGCATAAACTGGCCAAGTTTGATGATTCTAAGTCTAATAGTTTTCTAGTTATGAACCGGACAGGATTTTTCCATATTTGGCTATAACTTTTTAATTATAGGTCAGAGCGACCTACTTTTTGTGCGCGACACACCTTCTACCCAAGATGTATCAGCTGACAAAGTTTGATAACTCTAGGCCTTATAGTATTCAAGTTATGAGCCGGACACGAGAAAAGCTAACAGACGGACAGACAGACAGACGGACGGACACGAAGCCTATAACATAATACGTCCCGTCTTAAGACGGGCGTATAAAAAGTTATTATTTTAAAAAAAAATCAAAGGCCTGAAGGGCCACAATGGCGCCGCGCTTTAGATATGGCAGTGATACCGTGAAATAATTATATAGCTTAGTTGTACATGTATATCTAGATAAAATATTTATGAAATAAAAGCATTCAATTCATATGGTCCAACTGAACAGCTTGAGAACAGGTTTTAATGTGTAGTCACTAGTCAGTACCCTGGTAAAAGAGTATTAGGACCATACTTACCAACACCCAAGATGTAAAAATTTGGTCATTTGTGTACATGTATTGATAATTCTATTCAAAAAAAGCATTACTGAATTATTTACTTACAATGATGAAAAATTATTGATTAAATTGACATGTTAAATAAGAACATTGGTTTCATTGTCCAGCATTGACCTGAATTATGGTAAGTCTGCATTTAAAAAAAAAAAAGCCTTTTCGGTTTGTGCTAACAGGGACCTGTATCATGTATATACTAATATATATATTGTTTATATATAGGTCCTTGGTGCTAAATTTGAAAGTAATTCCAACTTTAGAGGATTTGAAATTACTTTTCCTCTCTCATAATTAGGCCTAATTAATTTAATTAACCAGTGTAATGTGTACTAAATGTACAGTAAGACCTACACTGTTTCCAAACACTATTTTATGTGATGAAAGTTGTTTTCCAAGATTCCTTGACATGTACATATATATTGTTTCTCTTTCTCTTTGTTCAATTTGTTTCTGCTGGTCTTGATAATAATCTTGTTCTATCGGAAGCCATTTTAAATTTTGATTTGTCAAAACAATTCCAGTTAATTGTTTACACCTCCACCGATAATTTACTGGCCTACTGAACCACATAGCCAACGGGTTTGTTTATGTAGATCAAGCTTGGGTTGTAACTGGAAGTTAAAAATACAACCTAATTTACGAACCAAATCCGGAAATCAGGGATTCGGGCGATAAGCATGACTCGCCGTGTCATAAAAAATAATCAGGTTAAGGGTCGAAAAGTAACCCGACGAAAGTGAGTGAGTTGTCAACTATGTATAGGACTGTTGAAATTGTATGATTTTCTAGCAATTTATGGAATAAACGCAAAAAGTGGCATGTATATTCCTACGCCAGATACATGAAGGTCTTGGTTCGAGTACTATATCATTTGGCGCATGAAGAAAGCCGTGAACAGTCAGAGATATTTCATCATAGCTATATGTGCGCCGAGCTAAAGCTCGACGCCATAAAAAGACTTTTCATCCTGTTCATATAAATGATGTAATACTTCTTGCATTTTTTAACAAAACAGACTTTTACCATAGAGTAATTGTCAGGCTTACCTTGTCTAGCTGTCTGTAGCTGTTGTCGCAGTGTAAAGCTGTGTAACATTACAGCATCCTAAAAATTCAAGCAATTCTGATATTTGAATCTTGGAAACATTTATGAAACTTAAGTTATCAGTTTAAATCAAAGATTACTGAATTCATCTCAATGAATCTAATGTAAGGCAAAGTCCCATTCTAAACTAATGATCAACATCAGTCATGAATTTTGGAGTGATAGACTTGGGAATAGATTGTTTTAAAACTTTTTTTTTGTGTGGCGGTCTGCCGGGCTTGATTGCCGGTGGCCGGATAGCTCAGTCGGTAGAGCACCTGACTGGAGATGCAGGGGTCCTGGGTTTGATTCCCGGTCCAGCCATACATTTTCTCTCTTCCAGTTACAGAATGGGTGCTGTGACCAGGAAACGAAAGGTGAAAGGCTTGCCAGGGATGAGCCTGGTTTGAGGTCTTTGAGGGACCAAAAACCTTTAAGGAGGGAGGAATGTGGCGGTCAGCCAGGCTTGATTGCCCGTGGCCAGTCATACATTTTCTCCCTTCCTGTAACATTTGTAATAAACCTCTTTCACCTGGTCAACTTTAACAAGGGAACCTGACACCAATGCTGAGGGTATAACATAACCTTCCCAAACTTCATTGAGATAAGCAGAAAAAAAATAAAAATCTAACAATACTTTAGATAATAAGCATATACCCATTCATCTTGCAGTGCTTTGAGTATGGCAGGAATACTTGTCGCAGAGGGTGGTCTAGGTTTTACCAGTGGAGATGCTAAAATGGAAATACTTGATATTAGAAAAAAACATTTTTTCTGGTTATGCGTATTTTCTATTATTGGTAAATTGCCATTTATTTAACAGTTCTAACTGTTCCATTCTAAGGATTAACTTGATATATTCACAAACCTTTGACTTCAACAAGCATTTCTATTCCCAGTTTCTCTCCATTCATTGGATCAGAGCCATTTTCTTTGATGTACTTTTCTATGAGACGTCGCTCATAGATGTGTCCAGATACAGGTGATATAACTGGTTGCTCAGGAACATCATTACTAACTGTTAAAAATAATACTAAGATTTACCAAGAAAAAATTCCTTTAATCCTGGAAGATGCACAATACCAATCAAAAAATGGTTCAAATACAAGCAGGAATCAAAGAGCAATTAGAACATTTCATTTATTTATTTAAACGTAACAAATTTATTTAACCTTTATTTAATATCAGAGACATAAAAATTTATTTATGTTTCTGTCTAATATGAAAAAGTTTACTAACAAAACCACGCTGTCTCTACACCGGCTTTATGTCACCTAGTTTTGTACAAAGGCATTTAACAATACTTTTTCATCACTTTAATTTTGAAACACAGAATAAATTCAATATAAATCAAATTGCAAAATGAAGAGATAATACATAAATTGGGGAAAATATAACGACTTCTTTTTTCAAATACTTACTTGCACAGCACAGCGCCATTTTGGATGGGTCACGTGATCAAATATTGTGGGAAACGGAATATTCTAAACGGGCATAATATTTCCGTTTTGTACCCATGGGGACAAAATCATACCCTAGCTTGTAGTTCCCCTACCAAATTGTCTTACATATTTATTTTATTGCCATATTGGAAAAATACGAATACAAAAAATGTTTAGGCAAGTAGTTCAAAGAAGGTGTACTAACAATATCCTAGGATGCATGTAAAAATTTTATGTTGAAATGAAAAAAAAATACTAAAATAAAAAAAATACTGTATATAAATAAGTCCCTGATAAAATTAATAAACTAGAGGTACTTTGAGCAATGAGCTCACTAAATGATACCCCACCTCCCATATATGAATACTAGTATAATGGTACTGTCCATGTTTTGCTATGGGAAACCCAAAATATGTGTCAGGTCAAAAAGTAAAATAGGAAGTGCCAATATGTAATAAAAATTCTGTGAAAGTCCCATTCAGTGGTATAATTGAAGTTGCGGATAAGAGATGGGTACCCAAAAGCGGAACGATGAACGGACGTACAGACGGACCGGACGAACGGACAGACATCCCAATTACTATAATATATTATACACTCTCCCGCTTTTCAAGCAGTATACAGTGGCGTAGCATCGTTTTTGAAAGTGGGGGGGGGGGCCAGCCAGAGAAAAAAAAATTTACTTACCTGAAAAAGTTGACAAGCAAAAAAAAAAAAAAAAAAAAAAAAGGAAAGAAAAAGTTGCCCAAAGTCGAAAATCCTATTCCGTGGGGGGGGGGGGGGGGGGGGGGGGGGGGAGCAATAGGTCAACTTTTTCTCAGTGTCAACTACCCATTCTAATATACTACATTTTCGGTACATCACTAAAGGGGGGGGGGGCAACCAGGCTTTCAATTAACATTTCCTATAGTATAAGTAAGGTTGGGAAAAAAAGTGGGGGGGGCCAGCCCCCCCCCCCCCCCGGTTGCTACGCCCCTGGTATAATATAGTATTATCAATGGTACAATAATATTATCAATGTTATAATGAATAAACTAGAGGTACTGTGCTGAACTCACTAAATGATACCCCTTCTCCCATATGATTATAATGTCAAAGTCCATGTTTTGCTCTGGGAAACCCAAAATGGGAAAATGTCGGATCAAAAATTAAAATAGAAGGTGCACAGAGGCACTATGTACAAAAAGATTCTGTGAAATTCTCTTCTAATTACATTCGTTAGTATAAGAGGAGTTTTGGATAAGAGACTGGTACCCCCCAAAGCGTCAACCGGGAGTCAGTTTAACAATAAATCGCGTAGGTGTACCACTCTAAATTTGAATATAGGATTTTAATAACGTGACAAGATTCAACCATTCTGCAACAAAGTGGATTGGGGACACGGAGGATTTTAAATAAAAATCCACTGTAAACAGTAAAAAAAATAAAAAATAAAAAGAATAGTGGGGATGGGGGACAGACCCCTGGGGGTGCTCAAGGGTGAGGGGAGGAGTTCATAACAAACTCTCTGGTCAATTGTTCTAGTATACAAGGTATATCGTGTTATTTGTCGAGGATCAGTAACTGCTCTGTTTTCCTCATAATATACTAAATTTGTAAACCTTTAAAGAAAATATACATATTCCAAAAATTTAAAAATCACATTTTAAAAAAAAAATGTTTAACTTTTCTATGAAATACACGCGGGTAAAATAATTCACTGCATTATATTGTACATAAGGGAAATAATAATGAAAACAAAGATTTGTAAATATATTGTTTACACGAGCTCCCATTTCACATTACTCACTAATTACGATGCATTTTAAAAAAATAAACAAAGGCGAAATGGGATTTATTTTTTACCTGGATTAAAGCGAAATAATGAATGACAATATACCATTATACTCCGCTACTTTCTACAAACAGTTATGAGAACCGTGATTTTTAATGAGTGTTATGTTTTCTATTAATTACTTGCAGGTCAACCACTTTGTCTTTAATCATCCAATATCGTGTCCAGGACTAATCATGTCGAAATTAACAAGTTGTACGTGTCTTCGGTCTAGCTGCAGATAAAAATGAAGACCTTTTTATCATATATTCCTCTTTGATTATTAATGTAAAAAAATTGAATGGGAACTAAGACAATAATTACAAAGATGAAAACCCAAATTGCATTGGCGTCACATTTATTCGTTTTTTGACTCCTTTAAATCAATATGATCAAACATAGCTATTAACCGTTGGGGTATCTAGAAATAACGATATGGAACGAAAGTTTTTTTTTTTTTTTTTTTTTTCTTTTCAATCTTTATTTTCAATTACAACTGACCTTGGGATAATATATCCTAAGATTTTCCCGGCTAATCCTCACCTATGGTGCCAGGGGCCCATTGGATTGGATAAATTATATCTTATATGTAGATATGTATATGTAATATAAATAAATATATATAAATATATAGACATAGAAATTATACATATATGATATGAATCGGAAAGATGAACTACCTTATAAATATAAAAATATGCAAATATTTGTTTTTGCAAGAAAAGATAATAAATAAATAAATAGATAATTAGGCCTCGCTGCCATGGGGTACATCTTCCACCTCACAGAGTCCATAATAATTCCCCCCACATGGCAGCACTACTGAAGAACAGACTCCTTCAGTTAGTCAAAACTATTATTATCACAAAGCCATCGAAATATCATAAAACCATTTATATGTAAAGTTTACATCTTATTTTTTTTTTATAAATCTCATATTGATACATTAGTTTGTCTGTAAATAATACAAGATATCATTTATATTTTCTTCTCTGTTTTCATATCTTAGCTTCATTTTTATCTTATATATAAAAAAAAGCTATGTATGATAATAAATAATTCAATGAAATAGTGGTTTTGTTTTCTTCATAGAAAAAACCCAATACAATATTTTTCCATTTTATATTCAAATTCAGACGGTTTTCTATATTTTCCCAAATCAATTCTACATTTCTACAATCAAAAATTTGATGTTTTGTATCTTCAAGTGATTCACAAAAAGGACATTTATTCGATACATTTCTATTCCATTTGTGAACATTTTTGTTATTATTTAGTAGATTTTGTAATAGCTTATAATTAAATTCTGCTAATTGTTTATCTTTTATTTTCGTAATTTTTGTTTGATAGATGCGTGTCTTGTTTTCCTCAAAGTTAAAGCTAAAGCTTCTCGACCAATATTTCTCGGAGTAAGGTTTTATAAAAGTTTTTTTTAGAAAAATGTCATATATTATTTTGCTACTTATCAGGTTTATCGGTAGTCTTTGTTTATTTTCTAACATAATCATCGTCTGATTTTTTATGTTTATATAAGCTCCTTTTGAAACATCATGATGTTTCTGTATAGGTTTTACAACTTTTTTTTAAAATATTGTATTCACTGATTATGTTGGATTTGTTTACAAGAATATTTTGAAAATAATTGATATCATGGAATTTTCCATTTTCGTCAAACAAGTCCTTAATATATAAGATCCCACTTTTTATCCAATTAGTGTAGAAAAGAATTTTATCATTAAATCGAATCAGGTTGTTCAACCATATAGGTAGAGACAATATTTCATTATCGGTTATCTCCCTTATATTGTGTTTTTTATATTTACAATCGTTCAATGTACTGAAAATTTCACAGTAGAAAATTGGTAATGACTTAAATATTTGTTTTATTTCACCTGTACTTGTTGTATTTGTCCTAATAAGATACTCAGGTGAAACGAATTTTCTGGCAACACAAGATATAAAGCAGGACTTTAAAGATGAATTTTTTTCGTTGAAAATTCGTGTAATCCATATGGAACGAAAGTTAAAATAAGAAATCATATTAAAATCTCATCAAGAAGAAAAAGTACAGTAGTTCTTTCTTCCATAATTTGCTGATTTTGCTGATCATATTTGTGTCCTCGTTTTCGCAAAAGCAAAGGAAAAATAAATCTCATGCCGCGGCGCTCTATCAATCTGTCGTTTAATCATTTGTCTGTCATAAAAAAAACACTTTACCATGGTCATAATATTTTTAAGAAAAGAAAGGACTTGCATATATTCTTAACAGTTGGCTTATAGAGTCCCATGAATCTTACAATTTAGTTATCAAAAGGTAATAGAAACCCTGTTCTGGGATACAGAAAGGAGGTGACTCTTGCTAGCTTCTTCAGAGTAAAGATTCCGAGGAAAGCTGGTTCTACGCGGGAACCTCCCTCTGTAAAACATCGATGTTGTAATAATTATTGAAATAATGACCACTAATGAAACCATGGTTTTGAAAGATGCTAAAAATGGAATCAAAAAAATTATGTTTCAACAACTTCTTTTATATCAGCCACTGTTGAAGGCATTTCAAACTCTACACTACGTTCCAACCACTAGTGAAATATTGACAACTATTGAAAAAATATTATTTCCTTATAACGATTCTGATATAGAACACTATGAAAATTAGAGTTACTGTGAGCACTGAGCTCACTAAATGATATCCCCGCCTCCTATACATATAATTATAAAGGCAAAGTCCATGTTTTGCTCTAGGAGACCAGAAATAAGTGTCAGATTAAGAAGTGCACAATGACATTAAGTAATGAAGAATCTCTAAAAGTTTAAAATAAAATTAAATTTTATTCAGTGGCATTATAAGAGTAGTTGCGGATGAGGAATAGAAAGAATGGCAGTTTTCAGTGCTATGGGAAACCCTAAAAATGTGTCAGATCAAAACGTAAAAAAGGAGGTGTATAACGACACTGTGTAACAAATATTCCGTGAAAGTATCCTTAAAATGCATTCAGTAGTACCAGAGGAGTTGCGGATAAGAGATGGGTACCCCAAAGCGTAACAGACTGATGGAAGGAAGGAATAAGGGACAGGCGTACAGACAGACGGATGGACGGACTGACGGGCATCCCGATTACTATATACCCTCTCACTTTTCAAAGGGGGTATAAAACTACAAATGGGGAGCAGAAGAAACACGAAGCACCAACACATCAGAGGTGGGATCAGGTGCCATGGAGGAGTAAGCATCCCCTGTAGACCGGTCGTACTTACAATATGCT